TGGCACATGAGTTATTGATGATTGTGAGCCATCCTGGACATAGAACCCGGACTCTGAAAGAGCTGCCATAGCTCATAACCTCTGAGTCATTTCTCCAGTCCCTCATGAGACTTGACGGTCACATAGAGTATGATTTTTATTTGACGACTAAGTCAAATCATTTTTATTTAAAGGTCTTCTGTTTTACTAGAATGAGTCTGTCAGGCAACAGCATTTAAGTATTTATTAATGGGGGTGAAAAATTTCTCATTATCAGTATTTTTAGGTAAATAGTGGGTTAGTGCTAGTAGGTAAATAGAAGTAGATAAATTGATACTATATCCATGTTGTATATGGATAAGCTTTTTAGCTTGAAGATTGTCTGAGTAAATATCATTTACTAATTACTAAATGGCACGTGAATAGTTAAACAGCCAGGGATTACTTGACAGAGGGGAAGCTGCATATGAACTTTAAAATTTTAAAATAGAAACTTGCCTTGGAACTTAAGCAAGTTTGAATTTAAGAAATAGTGGTTAGCTGTTGGTATTGGCATCTGGCATGAGATGAATTTGAAATATTAGTGAGTGTGATTTATCCTTGTGCTGTTTGAACTTTGTTTAGAGATGTGTAGTTATTAGCATGGGTCTCTAAACTGGCTACCTTATTTAAATGGCTTCTATGATTTCCAGTTAATGTTGAACATAACTTTTTTCTTCTTGATTAGCAAGTAGCATTTCTCTGGAGGATGTGTTCTTCTTGCAAAATAAAACCTTTTTTTGGGGGGGGGCGGGGGTCTAGAATCCAGCCTAGGACTTCCCTTGCACATGGTAGGCAGATGTTCTACCCTGAGATGTATGTCTAGCCCTTGAAGTATCTTTGTTTGTTACTGTCTCGATCTCTTGCAGAGTTGACTTAGGTATATTAATAATGTCTTATATTTGCTAGGCACTGTTATGTTTTGGATATATTTGCATAGGGTAGATGCATGGTTTCTGATCTCATTCAGTTCCTAGCTTGAGGAAAAAGCAATTGGAGTTGGAGACTTAACTCATGCCTTTCCTTTTCCCTTCCTTTCCCCTCCCCTCCCCTCCCCCTCCCCACTCCCTCCCTCCCCTCCCCCTCCCCCTCCCC